TATGCAGGCACAATGGGAACATACAAACAGTAATTTGCAGTAGAATTTTCCACTTTTAAGCAGATGAAAGTGCTTCTTTTTAAGCATTGTAAGCTTTTTAAGCAGTCTGGTTTTTGTATCATAACCAAGCATATGAAAGCTTTCCTCTGAGGATTTCCCTCAAAGCTTGATCTAGAAGAACTGCTAATAAGACCTGCACTCATTTTCCAAGCACATATTCATTAAAGCAGACTCACTACTGGAAATGTCAATTAGTTGAAAAAAAAAAAAACCCTGTCGACAGTACAGTGTGTGGTGCACGTGGGCAACAAGAGTGATCAGGACTAAGCTGGTTAGATATAAATCAGTTCTATTAAATTTAACTGACAAGGCAAGAATGACTCAGCCTTATATTAAACCTGGTTTATTCTACAGTTTCTTGAAACAAACTGTTTATTATCGGTATGAATATATCACATTGTTCATCAGACAAAAAACAGACTTTCCCACAAAACACTTTCAAACACAGCACACGCACACACTCCCTCGCTACTCACCGGTGTAGTCTTCGCGGCAGATACAGGTGTACCCTCCCTCTCTGCGGGCACACACCCCTCCGTTCAGACAGGGGTTGGAGTAGCACAGGTTGATCTCTGTCTCACAGTAATCACCCGTGAATCCCACTGGGCAGCGGCAGCGTAGTCCTGCGATGGGGTGGATGGGCCGGAACAAGATGGAGGGTGAGGAGATGAAGGGGGCAGAGCTGTTGAAACGCAGCACTGAGATGCACTTCATGTAGTTCTGGCAAGGCTCCCGCAAGCACACGTTGTCATCAAACGGGAGGACCTGGAGCAATAGCAGAGGAAACATATACAGTGTAGTGTGAGGAATATTCTCAATTTAGACTTTCAGGCGTCCTCACTCAGGGCTTCTTTTATCACTCATAATAAAGTTACTTTTTAATATTTATAAGCGGTGAAATCATTCTTGTTTTTGTGTTCCAGTGATCTATTTCAGCAATGGTGGAAAAAGTTTTCAGATCTTCAAAGTAAAAGCATCACTATAACAATCCTACTAAACTAAAAGTACATTAAATATTATCATCACCTAGTACTGAAGTTAATTAAGTAAAAATCTCCCTGATGATTATTAAAGTTTTTAAAAAGTACCATTCTTAACAATGACATAAAGATACAGTTTAATGAATTTGTAACATGTTATGATGAAGTGAAGAAAGATGCCAAAACAGTTCCTTATACTTAATTTGTATCATTTGGGCAAACCAGGAAATACATAAATTGAAAAAACAATATAAAAACAAATTAAGCAACCATCAGTATCTGCTACTGGTTGAATTTGTATTTTAAAAACCTTTACTGGTAGAAATAATAGCATGAAAGAAAAAAAAAAGTATGTTTTTTTCTTTTAGGAGAAATTAAACATGCTAGCATGCTAATGTTTTGAATGCTAGCATGCTAGCTAATACTAAAACATGCTCATGGCTATATAAACATGTTACTGTAAGGCACTGTCACAGTCATACTGGTAGGAGCATCACAAAAACAAAAATGCTACACAGCCTTTTAAAGTTTATTTACTATATTATACTTACTGTCAAACTGGCACATAAATCAAAACAGTAAATGTGCAGGCAGGTAAGGTAAACCCACCTTCTTCTGAATTCTGCTATGATGTATAGGCTGGTTCTAAAAGTCTATACCTGTAGTTTGGGGAAGGAGCTGCATCATGGAGTTTCTCACTGACTGACTTGTTAGGTGGCTTCACACTTCTGACTGGTGTAGGTTATCATTTGATTGCTAAAAAATGGTAATCTTCAGTAATGTTAGACATACATATTTAAAATGGGAATGCCTTTATTTATTCCATTTTAAACAATGTAATTTTATTATCACATTGAGGTTTTCTTGGTTCTTTTTACTTAAAATATTCATATTACCTTCATTTACCTGATACTAGCAGTCTTAACCTTCTCCACAGGTCAACCCCCCCAGCTATCAGTCATTTACCATGCTGCCTTGGACACAGTGACAGCAGTAGGCTGTGTGCCTTTGCATAACCAGTCACTTTCCCAAATAGTATATTTACAGCTTTTGCTTGCTGTTAAGGCCAGTGGACCAGATATATTCACTAGATTGTGTCTTCTTAAGAGCTAAGATCCTGTTTGCATGTGTGGTTGTGTGACAGTGCCTGTTAAGATAAGGTCAAAGGCACTCACCACTGGTGTCTCTCTCACCCCTTTATAAATATTTCCTTCTTCTGGATTCACCTTCTTCCTTCTGCTTCTATCTATCTCTCTCTTACTGCGAGATTCCCTTGGGTTGTGTAAACATTACATAACTGATGTGCTTGTCCAGGTGTTCCTGATTTCATGCATGAGAACATTTAATGGTCATATTTGCCCATTGTTCTGTAAAGTCACATGGCTGATGTGCCACAGGAAGCTGTATTGTGTTATTACTAGTTCACATCCAACAAGCTCAGATGTATACTCACAGGCCGCTTTATTAGTTACACATTGCTAGTACTTTTTGCCATCAGAGCTGTCTTCTTCATTGCATTGATTCAACAAAGTGCTGGAAACATTCCTCAGAGATATTGCTCCATATTGACATAACAGCATCACACAGTTCCTGCAGCAATGCTTCACATCCATGAAGTGAATGTGGAGGCTATTTGAGTTCAGT